TTAAATTCGTTCTCTCTCTTATGTGATGTCACAGAGAGGGGAAAACTGATGATGTCACTGCTGTAGTGTTACAATGGGGATGAATTCAGACCTGTCCTTAGTGTGATGACAGAGTGACGGGATTAATGGGTCTGTTACTGCTGTGGTGTCACACAGAAGTGTAAATTAGGGTTCCCACTGCTGTGAGGGCAAAGAGAGGGGAAAACTGAGACAGTCAGAGCTGTGGAATCACCGGGAAAGTAGCACAGGTGTTATGACATGTCTGTTGCCACAAGCGGGATGAAATAGGGTTTTTCATGGCTGTGGTATGACGGAGAGGCTTAATTTCTTTCTGTATCTGATGTGGTACAACAGAGAGGGAAATATTGGGTCTGACACCGCTGTGCTGTCACAGAGACGCGTAAATGGGATCTGTCACTGCTGTGATATCACAGAGAGGAGAAAACTGAGGCTGTCACTGCTGTGGTATTCCTAAAGGGATGAATACAGACCAGTATTTGGATGTGATGTAACAGTGAGGGGATTAATGGGTCTGTCACCGCTGTGGTTTCACAGAGAGTGGAATATTGGGTATGTCACTGCTGTGGTGTCACATAGAAACGTAAATTAAGTTGTTATGGCTGTGGAGTCACAGAGAGGCATAATTTGGCTCTGTTACTGATGTCATGTCACAGAGGAGATGAAACTGAGGCTGGAAATGTTGAGATGACACAGAGTCAGTAATATTGGGCCAGTCACCGATGTGGTGTTACAAAGAGGTGTAAATTGAAGTTGCTCAATCTGTGGTGTCACAGAAAGTGTGAAATTTGGTCTGTCACTGTTTCGATGTCATAAAGGGGGGAAAGTGGGTCTGTCACAGCTGTGGTGTCACAGGCAGGGGTAAATGGGGGTTCCCACTGCTGTGAGGTCATAGATAGGGGAAAACTGAGACTGTCACTGCTGTGGAGTCTCCCACAAAGAAAAACAGGTGCTATGACTTGTCTGTTGCCACAAAGGGGATGAAATTAGGGTTGTTATGGCTGTGGTATCACAGAGAGGTATAGATTGGGCCTGTCACTGCTGTGATGTCACAGAGAGGTGAAACCGGGGCTGTCACTGCTGTGGTGTTCCAAAGGGGATGAAATTAAGGCTGTCCTGACTGTGATGTCCCAGATAGACGAAACCTGAGTCTGTCACTGCTGTGGTGTCACAGAGAGGGGAAAACTGGAGTGATCACAGTTGTGCAGTCACAGAGAAAGTTACACAGGTGCTATGACTTGTCTGTTGCCACAAAGGGAAGGGAATTGGGGTTGTTAAGGCTGTGGTATCACAGAGAGTCTTAAATTGGTTCTGTCATGACTGTGGTGTCCCAGAGAGTGGAATAATGCATCTGTCACCACTGTGGTGTCACAGAGAGGTGTAAACTGGACTTGTCATTGCAGTGATCTCACCGAGAGGAGAAAACTGAGGCTGTCACTGCTGTGGCCTATCAGAGGGGATGAATTCTGACTTGTCTTTGATGTTATGTCATGGAGAGGAGAAAACTGGCACTGTCACCGCTGTAAGTGTTACAGATAAGTGTAAGTTGGGCTTATTACATCTGTGGTGTGACAGAAAGGGTGAAATTTGTCCTTATGCAAATGAAGAAAATGCAGCACTCAATATGAATGATCAGCAAGTCTCATTTATTGGTAACTCTAAAACCACTGATATAGCATCAATAATTAGGCTCATACATAGTGCAAAAGCAAGGTCAGTATTGGATAGTTCATTTAAGGTCAACTCCACCTAATTCCACATTCCTGTGATCACTCATCTATGCTGAATTCACATTCTTCTGATCACAGCATCCTGTTCTCAGTTAACAGTTATCACTAAGGTCTTCTGGACTTTGCAACATCTCACATCAACTGTACTCCATTGTCTAATTCTCTCCCAGCTAGCTGCTGCATGGGAATATGACCTTTGCTCTCTAGCCATTCCTCTACAATTCCCCTGTTTTCTTTTTATACTAACAAAACTGTAGAAGTAGCTTTCTTTACCATGTTTTACAAGCATTGCAGTATGCAAGGAATAAACAGTAACACAATCACAATGATCAATATAATAACAATTGCTATTTGTGCCAAATTTTTTAACCATCCTGTGAGACCTAGGGATTGAAACCATTCCTCTAATGGATTTGTTTCCATGGTTAATTTTTTCATATTGCTCTCTAGTTGTTGAAGACGGGCATGAATAGACATTGAATGGTCAGAAAGATTCATGCAACACATCCCATCAAAGTCTTCACAGCCATGGCCCTGTGCTAATAGCAAGAAATCAATAGCAGCTCTATTCTGCAATACAGCATGCCTAACACTCTTCATATCTAAAAGCAAATCAGACAAAACCTTTGATGTATTATTAAACTGTTTTCCTGTCCAACATGCCAGTCGTCGTAACTGCTTATAGTAATTGTGCTGTTTATAGTCATAACACCTGAAGCAGGAGGCTAAGCCCTTGCATTTATACCCCAAGCTTTAACTCCTCTGCTGACTTCTGTGTATTAGCTGTTATCATCCCCAGGGTCCTTTACCACTCCAAAGAAGAAGTGAACCAGTACCTTGAGCGAGCAGGCTGCCTTCAGAAAAGAGCTATTGACAGGACTGTCAATAGCAATGCTGCTCGGCTTGGGAGCAACCGGAGCAGCCACGGGTGTCTCCGCTCTGGTAACCCAGAGTCAGAGCCTCTCTCAGCTACTGATGACTGTAGATGAAGATCTACAGAGAATTGAGAAATCCATATCCTTTCTAGGAAAATCAGTCTCCTCACTCTCTGAAGTTGTTTTGCAGAACAGGCGAAGCCTTTTTTCATGCAGCAAGGAGGCCTCTGCATCGCCCTGAAAGAAGAATGCTGCTTCTACGCTGACCACACCGGAGTAGTGAGAGACACCATGGCAGAGCTACGAGACAGGCTGTCTCAAAGGAAGGCAGAGAGAGAAGCCCAGCAAAGCTGGTTCCAATCCTGGTTTGACCAATCTCCGTGGCTGACCACCCTGGTGTCTACCCTGATTGGACCAGTTGTGATGATTTTACTTGTGCTAAACTTTGGACAATGTATTTTAAATAAGCTTGTGTCCTTTGTTAAGAGCTGACTAGAAAAAGTTAACATTTTGTTTATAGAAAGGCAACAGATGCTTTAAAATATATTTAGTTACTGCATGTACTTTATATTTACCAATGAAAATTGCAGTATCTATTTTATAAGCTTTTAGCTTTTTAGTTAAGTATAGTGTATTTTGTATTTTACTCCATTTTATATTATCCATTTTTAAAATTTTTTTAATATAGATAAGTAGACAAAGTGTTTTGAGATATGTATATAAAAATAACATTAGAATTTTTAAAGACTAATATACCTTATATTTTAGCAAACTAGTTATTCATGGAGAGGGGGGAATATGTTGTAGTTTAAGGCCTTGCGGTGAGGAAGAATTCGGGATGTAACAGAAAGCTAGTAACCCACCCCTCTCTGTTAGGATTGTAAGGCCCTCTGCAATTAACCAATAACACCTAATGATGAGGTATGCAGATGGCAGTAACACAGTGACCCTAGGTTATAAAATGTTAAATTCCCCTGCAATAAACACCATGTTCGCCATCCATCACATTGATGCTGTGGGTTGTGGTCCGTGCGGCTGAGGATAGCTGCCCATGCTGGCTCGGGCCAGGGTGCCTGCCTTGCATGAAAACCGACAGCATTTCTGGGTAGCAAGGCAAACATGAGCCTCTTTTAGTGGCCCTTGAAACTGGACATGTGAAATGAGGTACACAAAGCCAAAGGCCAGCTGAACCTGGCATCTCTGAATGGGTCTTCACATTCTTCCCGGGAAGATGAATGAGAATCACTATTTTGGCATGGAGGAAACTGCATCAGCTGGCAATTTGCTGTAGAAAATGTGCTTTCTGCTCCTCTCACAGCCAAAACTCCTACCCATTTCTTGGAAGTCCTTCTTAGATAAGGACCATGTTCCACTGAGTGACAGTGAAGCCAAATGGCAATCCAGCAATCAATTGTCCTGTACACAATCTCCTCCATCCACGTGGAAGGTTACTCACAGGCACACAGGAGTAAGGAAGGAAGCCAAATGCATCATTGGACATAAAGACAGACGTGTTGAGGGATGAAGAAATCTTGCAGAGATTTGCAGGGAAAGCTGCCCTGAAAACCCAGTTTGGGGAGAGCCTGAGCTCTTTTGTGCTTCTAGGCCTGAAGATGCTCAGCACCTTTCCCAGATGCTCAGCACACAGTAGGATTGTGCCTGAATCTGGCTCTGGAAATGACAATGGCTCAACTGAGAGCCGTGGCAATGATTTCCATTGCATGGAGAGGGGCCACAGTCCTGCAAGATGATTTCCATTGCATGGAGAGGGGCCACAGTCCTGCAAGAGTCTTTCAGCAGAGCAAACAGCAGCCTGGAGGGTGGGCAATGCTGCATCTGTACCACTGCATGCTCATCCTTCACCACAATGCAGAGCTGCCCCCAAAGCTGCCATGGATCACTTTTTCGATTTCTCCTGTTGGATATATTTTGGAGAAGTTGTTCTAGGTGGCTTTGGATGGTGATCCAAGTAGGAAGCAGCCATTCGCCTGCTGTGATATCCTTACAACTAACCCTAACTTCTCATTGCCTTTGGTTTGATTGGGGTTTTTTTAATCTGTTTGTTTGACTGATTTCTTTGGGTTGGTTTCTTTGTGGTTTTGTCTGTTTTGCTTGGAGTTTTTTTCCTTTTTTAGAAATGACTGGTGAAGTTGGCACAACCAAACTCCAGAAAACGTAAAGCAGGCTTGACTTTCCAGAAATTGCTTTTGGCTGGCTTTAGCTGCATTCCCCAGGATCACGATCAGCAGTAGATATTTGCAGGTTTTGCTCTGCATCCTCAGCCTGCCCAGATGTTGTTCAGTGTTTCAGCAGTGGAAAAGACAATGGATATTTTGCCAAACCTCCTTTCAAACAACAAAACTTGGGTTAGCACGACAGAAAAGAAGAAAAGAAAATATTCCCCACTTAGAACAGAGCCAGAGTCCCACCATTTGCCCCTCCACTTTTCTTTCTTTTCTACATTTAGAGGTAAAGCTTCCATCTCCAAAAGCTTCCATCTCTCACTTCCTGATGCCATTTGCTACCCTTTAGCCTTGACCCCCACACATCGAACTGCTGTCCATGTGGGGCTGGGGATGCTCAGCCTGGAAAGAGAAGGGGGCTGGCGAGGCCTCTCTGCAGCTCTAGGAAAGATGGGCACAGAGAGGAGAAGCCTTTCAACTGCAGGAGTGAGCTTGAAGTTGGATCTAATGAAGCTGCTCTTTTCCACTCCGGCTGCTGGGCCACTGGCCCAGGCTGTGCACGGAGGCTGGGGATGCTCCATCCTTGGCAACATCCAAGGCCAGCTGGGAGCAGGGCTCTGAGCAACATATTCTGGGGGAAGATTGCTCAGCTTGGAACAAGATGGTCTTTAGGGTCTCTTCCAAGCCCAGCCACCCAGGGATTCCATCATTCATTCTACGGTCTCCGTTGTCCACTTCAGCCTGGGCCTGAACTCCTGGCGGTGATGTCACAGTGCATGCTCCAGCTAGAACTTCCAGCATCCAGCAACGGCCACAACACAACCCTTGGCTCCTTGTGTCAGCATGCTCTTCACCCTGCTCCAAGCCTACCCCTGTCACCTTGCTTACTACCTGCTCCCGGATACCTCCATCATTCCCCAAAGCACCCCATTGCTTGGATTTTGCTATCCATCCGTGCACGATGTCTGCATTTGCTCCAAAGAAGTTATGGTACTATTCCATGGAGGTGGATACCCCTCAATTGCCAGGGTGGGCTGGAGTTGTGTGGGACAGTGTGGGAAAGGGACCCCACTCTGAAATTTTGGTACCTCTGCAGTCTGCCACAGACAGAGAGGAGGAGATGGAGGTCAATACACAGATTGATAGAGAGGAGGACATGGAAGTGGACAGAGAGGAGACTCGAGAAGAAAAGATGGATGTGGATGTGACAGAGATGGAGGAAGAGATGGAGGTGGATACAAAGATTGATACAGAAGAGCACATGGAAGTGGATGGAGAGGAGACCGGAGAGGAAGAGATGGAGATCGAAATGGAAGACCACATTGAGGAGATGGATATTGATGGAAAAGATGAAGAGGAGGAGGACATGGTCTTGGGATGAAGACCGATGCCAGCAGCAGAACAGGCAGGTGCTCCCCACAGGCAGAGTGGGTCCCCTGCTGCCAGCCTGGGGCTGGGCTGGGCACTCCCTGCTTAGGGACACGCTAGCCCATGCACTGGATTCTGCTGGCCATCCCTAGCCTGGGCTTGCTTTGGGCCACACAAGCCCTGTTCCCGTGCCTGGACCATAGCCCCCAGCCAGGCTCACTTCTGGCAGCAGAGTCCCACTGGGCCAGTGTCCCAGCCCGGCAGCACATGGAACACCCTTCCGTGCCTGACTGCACTGACCGTGCTACTTGTTTTTCTTCCAGGACTTAGGGACATCACAGACACAGATGCCACCCTTCTGTGTATAGGTTTTAGAGATGTTATGTTCGCAATAGAAGTTTTAGAGTTTGCTTATGTCTACTGTAAATACGTTTCATATAGTTTGGTTAGATATGTTCTTAGGTAAATAGGTTCTATAGTTTGTTGTTGTTGTTACAAATATTCTTACAATGTAAATATGTTGTGTAGTTCATTCTCATTCTTTTTCTTCTACAAATAAACATTCTTTGCTTTTCACACCCCAGTTCTCTTTGCATTTGCTTTGGGCACATTTGCAAAGTTGTGCTTTCCACTAGCTCCAGGTTCCCAGGGCTGGATGTCCTGGAGGGAGCTGGCACAGCCACCCCAGGAGTGGGCTCCCTGTGCACAGGGGGTCCCACTGAGAGAGCTCACCCTCTCCTTGCAGTTTCTCTGCACACACTCATGGGAGCAGGGCTCAGCCTCATCCATGGCTCTTCCCTGGCTAGCCCCAGGGCTAAGGAGGCTGCACTGGGCTGCGGGCAGCCTGCTTCCTGGGCACCCTGAGGGGCTGGAGCCAGCCTGGATTTCCTTTGGAAACCCTCTCTGTCACCACACTCTGCTACAAGCACAACATCAATTGTTCCTCCTAGTTAAAGGGGAGACCTTAATTGGCACAAATTTGTCCCTTGGACTTTCTAGCCCAGCAAATGTCAGCGCTTGTAATCCCTGTTCTGCACTCCCTGCTCGGGCACCAAAACCTTGGAACCTGCCAGAACATCTTGAATTAGCACCAACCTGCAGAGGGCTACAGGGGGAGAACAACCCCCAACCACACAGGGACATTGATGGGCTGGGGCAGAGCTGAAACTAAAGTATTTTAATGCCAAGAGACAGGATTTTTTATTGCTGAATTCATTCTCCCAGGACAAGAATGAAAGCTTTGTCTCCTCACCTGCCACACATGTCTATTGCCAAGGTTTGCTTCTGGGTTACGACTGATTTTTATTCATCTCTTCACAACTCTGATGCTCTTCCTGCCTAAGGTGCAGAGATGATATTTCAGCTATTTCAGAGCCAGATGAGCTCAGCACAGCTTGTGCAACACGCAGAATTTCCAGACCCACAGATTCAGGCCATGCAAACTGATACTTTTTCATCTCTGTGCAAAGATCACTGCAAGGATGTCATGATGTACCACACACTGCTCAGAGCTGTCCCTTCTATCCAGCTCTCCCCAGTCACTTCACACACTTCACTCCCAAGCACTTTCTGATAGAGTTCAGTAGCAGATGGGATTTCATCCTGGCTTTTCTTCCTTTTCTCCTGAGCTGTCTCCAGACACAGTGTGTGGGCACTGCAGCAGCATGAACGTGGCACCTCCCTGACACTGAGATTCATGTCACAACTTTTCATCCAAAGCAGCAAAGAAATGATTCCCACTGGCTCCCACACGGCTCCCTGGCAACTTTGTGCTGCTGCAGCTCCGGCACCAGCCCTGGTGCACAGCAATTTCAGGAGGAGACACACCAAAGGAATCAGCCATTCCCAGAGAAGAAACATCTGTTTGCATGGCCCAAATCCCCACAACACTGCAGACTGTGCTGACCCTGCACACTCTGCATTTGCACTTCAGCCTCTGTGCCTCACTTTTCCTCTCACTAAAGTCCCCCCAGTTTCCCTCAATGCTCACATTCCCAAGAGAATTCAAAGCAGCATTAGGAGCAGGGAGTGATGATGGGAGCTGTCCCAAGGCTCAACAAAATTTCTCAGGCCTGACAATTCTAGCCAAGGACAGAGGAAAAACCTGCATGGAAGAGGTGTGAAATCAAAGCAGTCATCAAATTTAGGTAGAATGAGAGAAGCTGAAGAGGTTTTCAATATTTGCAACAAGATTAGCAGCTCCAGGCACAGGAGGGATGCATTTTCCCCACTGTAACAACTCTGGGATGCAAATTGCATCTCAAATCCTTCTCCCCAGCTCTGGGACTTGTTCAGCCCCCACCATGGTGCTGAATTTTTCAAGCAAAGTGGAAGCTGGTCAGAGAGGTGGCTTGCAAATCCAAATCACAGAGGACAGCTTGGAAGCAGCAGCCAGAGCCAAGAGAGGCAGAGCCTGGCCCTGGGGTGCAGCACAATGTTGTGGTTTAGATTTGCTAATTTCGTTTCCCAGCCAACGCACCAAATAAATGTCATGGTTTTAAAGCAGTAGCTAAAAAATTACAAGAAAACTTACTTATTTCTTGCTGTGAGATATACATTAGAACAAGGTCAAAACAGGCTTAAAACTTAAAAGGAATAAAGAAAGTTTATTAACAGAACTACAAGAATAAGAACACCAGAAGAACTTCCAGAAAACCTCTTTCTCCCCCACTACCCAACCATTCCTTTGTTCACATGAAAACATAGAGACAAAAAACTTGGAACTTTGGTGTTTAAAACACTCCCAATTCCTGCTAGAGTCTTTTCATCAGCTTTGTAGAGAAACAGATGTCTTCTGCTAATCTATGGAGTTTTTCGCAAGAAAACCATTTCTGTTACAGTTTTCTATTTCTCTGATGCCAGCTGCCTGGAAAAAATCTGTCAGCAGTTCACTCCTCCCATTTCACATCACTCTGAGGTGTGTTATGGGTCAAATGAGTCTCGGGATGTCATTTTTAAGGATGAGTTATTCAAAGGCAAAAGTTCTCTTCATCTGTCTCTGTGAGCCTCCCTGGAAACAGAAGTTTTCTCTTTGCCTCTCAAGGCCTCAAATCTTCAACTATTACTTTTCCCCACTCTGTTCCAGCACCTCACTGTATCACAATTACTCCACCTTTTGCTCAAAATCCACACTTTGAACACTCCATTCCTCCCAATATACTCTGTCATGAATTAAAGGAGTTTTTTCAGGACACTATTGTCCATCTCCATAGCTTTAACAGACAAATATTTCAGCTTATAAAGCATCTCCTTATTCTCTCTTCCTCATCTAAAACTTAACTCTTTTCTTCATGGTCTTTGATGGTTTTATGATGTCGTCTTCATGTTATCTCTCTCTCTCACCCTTCTCTCCCTCTCAGAAAAAGAGTAATCTGCAAGTCTCATCCAGGTAGTAAAAGAGTTAAAGTCTTGGAAAGCTGCAGATGTTGATGGTGTCAGGTTTCAGTCCAGCAGCAGAAACTGCAAACCAAGCCAGGCCGGCCGGCTCCGTTTCTCCCCCCCCGCCCTCTGCGGCCTTGTCCGGCCTGGAGGGGGGAGGAGGCCGACAAGGCCGCGGGGTGGAGGAGGGGAGAGGGAAGAGAAGCAGCGCTCGTCAGCCAAGCTTGGTTTTCAGTTTTAGCTGCTAGACTGAAACTTAACACCATGAACTCTTGCAGTTTTCCTAAAGCTTTTAATTCTTTTACTACCTGGATAAACATACAGATTACTCCTTTTCTCAGAAAAACAGAGAGAGACAATCAACATAGAGAAGACATCATAGAACCACCAAAAACAGTGAAGAAAAGAGTTAAGTTTAAATAAGAAAGAGAGAATAAGGAGATGCTTTACAGCTGAAATATCTTTCTGTTAAAGCTATGGAGATGGACAATAATAGTATAAAAAGACTCCTTTAATTCATGATGAGTGTTGGGAAGAATAGATTATTCAAAGTGCAAGTTTTGAGCAAAAGAGAGAGAGAGTACTTGTGATACTGTGAGTTGCTGGAGTTGAGTTGAGTGAAGATTTTGAAGCTTTGAGGGGCAAAAAGAAAACTGTTTTCCAGGAAGGCTCACAGAGACAGATGAAGAAGACTTCTGCCTTTGAATGACTTATCCTTAAAAACATCGGAGAGATGTGAAATGGGAGGAGAAGATCTAATGACAGATTTCCGGGCAGCAGGCATTAGAGAAATAGAAAACTATGCCAAAAAATAGTTTTCTTGTGAGAAACTCCGTAAGTTAACAGAAAGAGACTTCTGTTTCTCTACAAAGACGGATGAAAAGACTGTAGCAAGAATTAAGACTGTTTTTAACCACTAAAGTCCTAAAGTTATTTGTCTCTATGTTGTCATGCGTACAGAAGAATAGTTAAGATGTGGAAGATAAGGGGGTTTTCTGAAAGTTTATTCTGGTGTTCTTATTCTTGTAGTTTGTTAATAAACAGTCTTTATTCCTTTTAAGTTTTAAGCCTGTTTTGCTCTTGTTCTAATCCATATCTCACAACAAGAAATAAGTAATTTTTTACTTACTGGTTTAAAACCACGACACCTGGCAGCCTCAGTAACTGTGGATTTATTGACATCTCAGCCCTACAAGATTCCCACGGGAATTATGGGACCAGTGATAATAAATGGAAAAGCTGTGGGTGCAATAGTGTTGGGACGTTCATCTGCTAGTCTAATGGGACTGTTTATTTTACCTGGAGTAATTGATGTGGACTATTCTGGTGAAATATATATCATGGCATATACACTGGCACCACCAGCCAGAATTGATAAGGGACAGCAAATTGCACAACTGGTGCCACTACCACAATATACCCATCAATTGACACCATTGCAAAATCAATTACAGGGTACAGGTGGATTTGGTTCTACAGGAGGACTTATATTGCTTACCCTGGGCTTAAACACTCGACCCAAGCGAAAAGTTGTTC